TATATATATTCTATAGGAAGAAGCCTTCCTGCTGTATACAATAGTTGGAGTGTATGGATGGATGGATAATGCTGGCAGTTGCAGAGCGAATTTATTTTCAAATAGAGAGATATGAAATGCATGCAGAACTGAGATATTTGCGGTGTATAAGCATCAGCCCCGTGGTGTATGTATGCATGTGTTGCTGTTATTTATTATTATTTTCCTTTTGTTGGCAGAGAAACCTTAATAATTAGGATGAAAAACCGTAAAGAAACTAAAAACAAAATGCTTCTGCAGCAGAAAGTAGTTTATTTTGCTGCTGCTCGCCTAGTTGCTATGCTACGCTAAACCCTAAACCCTAAACCCTAAACCCCATAGAGGAAGATTAGTATTAGAACAGCAGCACGAGTGCTACGGGTTTAGGGTTTAGGGTTTAGGTTTTAGGGTTCTAATATAAAAATTTGGGGTTTGAAATAAAAGGCTTAACGTTTAGGGTTTAGAATTTAAGGATTAGGGTTTAGGGTTTAGGGTTTAGGGTTTAGGGTTTAGGGTTTAGGGTTTAGCTAGCGGTGAGCAGAGAGGGTCCTGAGCGTGTCAGTGGCTTCTTCTTTTTTGGTGCTTCTTCCATGCAGCAAAGAGACAACGAAGAAATAATTAGAGACTTCTTTAATCTATTCGCCTTCTTATTCTGTTGAGTCTGAGTCTTCTCTGCTGCTTTATATGCAGGAGACGCTCCCCTAGGGGACAGTAGTCTCCTTTCTTACAGCCCCGCTGTGCTGCTGCTGCTGCTGCTGCTGCGGCAGCAACACCAGCACAGCAGCAAAAATACATCTTCTCTTTAGTCTTAGCAATTATCAGAGCCCCACAGGCTACCATCTGGTGCTGCTGCTGCTGCTGCTGCAGCGCAGCATCGGGACCGTCCATCTCTAGCCTTGGGGTGTATGTACACCGTAGGCGACCTCCTGAGGCTTCTATTTCTGCTGAGCACTCTCATTTCTGTTTTTACTAATTATAAACAATTATATTAGAGGATTCTGCGGCCTTCTGCCTCCATAGAAGACCTCCTAGGGACCCTAGCGTTCCACTCGTGCGAGCAGCAGCCGCAGCAGCAGCTGCTGCTGCTGCTGCCGCAACAGGCGTAGCAGCAGCAGCAGCAGCAGGAAAATTGATTAGACTGGTACAAGCTGCGGCAGCTGCGGCAGCTGCAGCAGCTGCAGCAGCTGCAGCAGCTGCAGCAGCACCACCAGCTGCTGCTGTATCCGTGGCAGCAATAGCAGCAGCAGCAACAGCAACAGCAGCGGCAGCAGCGGCAGCAGCAGTTAGTTGTGGGGGAGGCGCGGTTCAATAAACAAGGCAGTGCCTCTTTCTTTTGTGTATATGAAGAGGAGGGCCTCCTTCCCTCCTCCGCTGTCTCTTCTTTTAGCGTTTCCTTTTATCTGCTGTTTAGAGACAGACAAAGATAAACTTCTGTCTCTTCTTCAATCAAGCCCCCATATGCATCAGAAGGGGCCTCCCAGCAGCAAGGGCAGCGTGTTTGTTGTTGTTCCTGCTCCTGTTGTTGCTGCTGCTGCTGCTGTCATTGTCAGCGCTGCTAAAGGAGCAGGGGTGACCAGCAGCAGCAGCAGCAGCAGCAGCAGCAGCAGCGGCAGTAGCGGCTGCAGAAGCCGCAGCTGCTTTTTTCAGGGACTTGTTTGTTGATTGCTGAAGCCATTCTTCTGTCTGCAAGGGACTCTCCTCCTTCCCCATTGCAGCCTTAGCAGGCCCCGCTGCTGCTGCTGCTGCTGCTGCTGCTGCTGCTGCTGCGTGGGGTAGTGTCTCTTCTTTCTTGCGTGGTTAGTGTGAGGTGAGGAGACACCTGGGGGCCTCGGGGCCCTCAGGTGTCTCCTCAGGTGTCTCCATGGCGCAGCCAGAGCTGCAGACACAGGAGGAGCAGCAGCTGCAGCAGCAGGATGAAGGGAGACAGCCGACGGAGAAAGCTGACTTAGAAACAGTGGCTTCGCCCAATGATGGCGACAATACTCCTGCTGCTGCTGCTGCTGATGCTGATGCTGATGCTGATGGTGCTGTTGCTAATGCTGATGATGCTGCTGCAGATGGTGCAGCAGCAGCAGCAGCAGCAGCAGCAAGCTCAGCACCTAGCCCTGTTCTGCTGCTTCGGAGACACATCCGCAAGCCTAATATAATTTGGGGGGCGCTTCTCCTGTCTCTTCTGATTCTTTTATATGCTGCAGCAAAAGCAGCAAGGATTATGAAGAATAATCAGGCAGCAAATGCTGTAGGCGGCCAGCACCGTATAGATCCCCGTCACCTGGAGACAGTTGCGGCGATGCTGCAACTGCAGCAGAAACACGAGGAAGCGAATGCTGCAGCGACAGAGGAGCAGCAACAGCTGCTGCAGCACCTTCTTCGATATGGAGAGATGCAGGATGGGGCAGAAGAGTTGCTGCTGCAGCGCCAGCGCAGCAGCAAAGTCAGGGTCTTAGCCTCAATGCAAGGCATAGACGTCCCCGGAGCAGCTCAGGCGCAGCAGAGGCTGAAAGATCTGCTGCAGGAAAGAGACAGACTGGCGCTGCAGAACGAAGCCGCACAAGCATTAGAGGGATTAACAGTATCAGAAGCACAATATATGCTGCAACACCTGAGGGAGATGGGGCAGGCTTTAGCAGCTGAAGATGCACGTACAGAACTGCTGCTGCGGAGCCTTCACGCTGCTGCTCCTTCCTTAGGAACAATGCGCGAGAACACTTACCGCCTGATAATGTTGCAGCAAGAAGTAAAAACAAGTAGAGAAGAGGTCGAGCAGCTGCAAGCAGAAGTAGCCGCAACAGCAGAAGCAGCAGCAGCCGCAGCAGCAGCAGCAAGCGCGAAAAGCGAAGCTGAGAAGGCTGCCGAAGAGCTGCTACAGAAGGAGCTGGAGGAGCTGCAACAAGACCTCCAGAACCTGCTGGTGCAGCTGGGGGAGAGCAGGCAGCAGAACTTCGATAAGCAGCAGGAGATAGCAGGGCTGCTGCAGGATATAGCGGAAACAGAGTTGCAGCTGCAGCAGAGCAGAGCGGAGCGCCTGGCCTTATTGGAGGAAAACTACAGCAGCGAAGCCCAGCAGCAGCAGCAACAACAACTGCTGCAGCAGAAGCAGCAGCTCCAGCAGCTGCAGCAGTTGCTGCAGCGCATGCTGCAGCTAACAGATCCCTCCGCCACACAGACTCAATTGCAGGAACTGCTGGATCCTGAAGACGCAGCAGCAGCGCAGCAGCTGCTGCCTGAAGAGCAGGAGCTGCTGCTTGCGAGGCTCCAACTGCAGCAGCTGGAGCAGGAGCAGCTAGAGGAGTTGGATGTGCTGGATCAGCAAGCGAAGGGAGAAGCAGCAGAAGAAGCAGCAGCATTAGTGCAGCAGAAGCAGAAGCAAGTGCAGAGTCTCCCTCAGATACTAGAGGAGACAATTCATATGCCTTCAGCATTTTCTTCTGAATTCCGTATCCGCCTTGGTGCACGTGTCAAGCAATGGGAGCGCATCCTCAAGAGAGGGGTGCGGCAGCTGCGGCAGCAGTGGAGGCAAGCAGCTTCAGAAAAGAATCTGCTGCAGCAGCAACTTTCTGCTTGTCCTGATTTTCAGAATCACGTTGCTGCAGTCCGAGGTGCATGCAACGATATTCTTGCTGCTAGAAATGCAGCAGCAGAAGCAAGGAGACAGCGGGATCGTTTATTCATTTTAGAGGAGCTGCAGGGGGTAGGTACTGAAGTGCTTTTGCATGAGATAGCAGCAGGATTAGAGTCCGACGTGCTGCGGCAAATAGCAGATAGTAGAAGGCTGCAGGCGCAGCAGGATCTTGCTGCGCTGCAGCGGCTGCAGCAGAAGTCCGAGCAGCAAGTTCTAGTGCTGCTGCGGCAGCTAAACGAAGCAGAGAAGCGATATCCTTCTCCTCAAGGGGCTTCTCTTGCTGCCTTCCCTCCTCTATGTGCTTTAGTTAAAGAGGCAGCAAGGCAGCAGCACTATTTGAAAGAGATTGAGCAGCTGCTGCGCTGCTGCAACAGATCCTACTCGTTTCAGGAAGCACAAGAGCTGCTGCTGCAGGCTTTAGAGGTTGCTAACAGCCGCCTCAGGAAATGGGGACGAGGCAGCGAGATAGAGGAGACACTGGAAGTAGAACGACGAACCCGAATCAATGTCTTAGCTGATACCGAGAAGAAAGAGCTCAAATTACTTCAGGTACTGCAGCAAATGGAAGACTACTTCGCAGCAAGCTTCCTTCGGCGCTCTCATCGCGACAAAGAAAAACACAAACATAAAAAGAAAAAGCCTGGAGCAGCAAAGAAGGTGCGTCCATCGACATCCCCAGACCTCAAAACAAAGAAAAAGCAACAGCAGCAGCAGGAGCAGGAGCAACAGAAGCAGCAGCAGCAACAGCAACAGCAGCAGCAACAGCAACAGCAGCAACAACAGCAACAGCAGCAGCAGCAACAGCAGCAGCAGCAACAGCAGCAGCAGCAACAGCAGCAGCAGCAACAGCAGCAGCAGCAACAGCAGCAGCAGGCGGAGGAGGATCGGGAGCAGCACAGGGCGCAGCTGCTGTCGAGTTTAGGCTGGCTTGTTCCGAAGAGGGTGTCGTGGGACTTAGACGATATTCCTAGTCTCCTCCCCTTTGCATCCGCGAAGGCACAATCAGAATCGGAGTCGTCGGAAACAGCAAAGGGATCGGGATCGGGATCGGGATCGGGATCGGCAGAGACAGAAGCTGGATCGGGATCGGGATCGGGATCCGGATCGTTGGAGACGGGATCGGGATCGGGAGCGGGATCGGGATCGGCAGAGACAGAAGCTGGATCGGGATCGGGATCGCTGGAGACGGGAACGGGATCGTCGGAGACGGGATCGGGATCGTCGGAGACAGGAACAGCAGAGGATCCCTTCAAACCTGAGTCGCCTTCAAGAGGGAGCAGACCCCGATGGGGGGCTCCTCAGGAGAACTTCGAATTGCTTATGCAGGCAGCAGCAGCGGCAGCAAAACGCGGGGAGTCGGAGGACGACGTGGAGACAATAGACGAAGAGGACACAGAACAGGAGGAGCCAGAACAGGAGGAGACACAAAGAGAGGAGACAGAAAAGGAGAAGGAGACAGCAGCAAAGAGGGAGACAGACGAGGAGAAGGAGACAGCTGGGGAGACAGGAAAGGACAGGGAGGCAGTGGAGAAGGAGACAGCGCAGGGGGAGGAGGCGGGAGTGGCAACAGGGTACGAGCAGGAGACAGCAGAGGAGGAGAGAGAAACGGAGAACGAAACAGCACAGGAGGAGACAGCAGATTTGGAGGAGACAGCAGGAGCTGTAGGGGAGGAGACAGGGGAAAGCATGCGTATTCCGGGTCGTCTCGGCATTGAGGAGCAAGAAGAAAGCCTTCTGCCTGGAGATGATTCCCCACGATCCCCACGATCCCCGCGATCCCCGCGATCCCCACGATCCCCAGGGTCCCCATTCTCTCCACTGAGCCCCACACCAAGCTCTAGTGGCACTGCTAGCCCCACTTATCCTCAGGGGTTTTTCCCTTCTGACTTTGATTTGAACTCTGTAGACGACATTGCTTCGCCCTTCAGGAGAAATTCAGAACTCACAGCGTCGGGATCGGGATCGGGATCGGGATCGGGATCGGGATCGGGATCGGGATCGCGACCGGGAGCGGGTGTGCGGAAACCAATTCAGGGATCGGGATCGCCGTCTTCGAGAACGGGTCCACGAGGATCTCCTGCGAGGCCAGGTGTGGGGTCAATATCGCGGGGAACGCGACAGGGATCGGGATCGTTTGGGGGATCGGGATCGCCTTCAAAGCCCTTATCGACACGCCCCGGGGGAACGGGGATCCCAAGGAGGGTTCCTGTTCTCTCTACTCAGCGGAGTCCTGCAGGTTCTTCTGCGCAACCTCGGCGTCGAGGATCTACTGTAAGCCCTTCTGCTGCTTCTTCTGCTGCTGCTTCTTCTGCGGCTGCTTCTTCTGCTGCTGCTCCAGCATCAGCAGGGACCCTGGTGCCGCCACGACTCCCTAGGACGAGCATAACAGGACGAGGCCCAGTGCGGCAGCAGTCCCTCTCTTCCTCTACGAGAAGGCGCTCGCCAACGAAAAGCGCTACAGTCGGCTCCCGAAGCCCTCCCGCACCTTGGAGGCCCTAAAGAAGGAGGGAGGAAGGAGGTTAATGCTGTCTCCTTTGTTCTCTAGAGAGACAGCAGAGGAGACAGCTGCTGTCTCCTTTGTTCTCTAGCTAGACAGAACAGGAGACAGCTGTTGCCTCCTTTGTTGCCTCGATAGACAGAAAAGGAGACAGCTGCTGTTCTCTTTTTTGTTGTCTAGATAGACAGAAGGGGAGAGAGCTGCTGCAGCTGCTGTCTCCTTTGTTGTCTTGATAGACGGAACAGGAGACAGCTGCTGCTGTCTCATTAGTTGTCTCGATAGACAGCAAAGGAGACAGCAGCAGCTGTCTCCTTTGCTGTCTCCTTTGGGGCATCTTCTTTTGTCGCAGACATCTTGCCTATTGTGTGCTGAGAAGAGTTTCTCTTCTAGGCTCTCTCCTTGTCTAGTTTTGCCCTAAAGAGGCAGATAAGGGGTTTATAGAGACATATGCGTGGATTTGTTGTTATTATATAACGTGCGGTGTATGTACATGGAGATTTGCTTGCTGTCAGTAAGGCTTATCGAACAGGGACAGGAGGAGACACCTGGGAGAAGAAGAGACAGAAATACACGCTCCACAGCAGCAGCAGCAGCAATAGGAGCAGCAGCAGCAGCAATAGAAGCAGCAGTAGCAGCAATAGAAGCAGCAGCAGCAGCAATAGTAGCAGCAGCAGCAGCAATAGTAGCAGCAGCAGCAGCAATAGTAGCAGCAGCAGCAGCTATAGAAGCAGCAGCAGCAGCAATAGAAGCAGCAGCAGCAGCAGCAATAGAAGCAGCAGCAGCAGCAATAGAGGCAGCAGCAGCAGCAGCAGCAGCATCAGCAGCACGTTCTGCTGCTTCTGTTGCTATGCCTTTAGCTCTGTTGCTGCTGCTATTAGGGGCCTCCATCATGCAGGAAGGAGATAGAGACACTGCGTTTGTCTCCTTCTTAGCCAGCTGGTTTTCTTGTTAGCTAGCTAGCTTCATTCGTAGCTAGCTGGTTTTCTTCCTAGCTAGCTAGCTTCATTCTGAGCTAGCTGGTTCTCTGCTCAGCTAGCTAGCTCCATTCTTAGCTAGCTAGTTTGCTTGCTAGCTAGCTAGCTTCATTATTAGCTAGCTAGTTTGCTTGTTAGCTGGCTAGCTTCATTCTTTGCTAGCTATTTTGTTGGCTAGCTAGCTATCTGGTTGGCTAGCTGGCTACCTGGCCAGCTAGCTTGCTGCCTAGTTAACCGGCTAGCTAGCCAGATGGACAGTTAGCTAGCTAGCTAGCTAGATAGCTAGATAGCTAGCTAGATAGCTAGATAGCTAGCTAGCGAACTAGCGAGGACAAGAGACGTGTGGGTTGCGTCTGGAGAAAGGAAAGCCCAAGTGCTGTGTGGGCCGAGAGAATAGCAGCTGCGACCCTAAACCCTAAACCCTAAACCCTCACCTCAGAAACCCTAACCCCCCTCGTCTAAACCCTAAACCCTAGAGGCTTTTAGCGCTGAACACTGAAACCCTCGCTTGCCAGAGAAAGGAAACAACAGCCCGAACGCCATCTCGAGTTTAGGGTTTAGGGTTTATGGTTTAGGCTCCACAGTCTCTGTTAATAAAAATAAAAATAATAGTAATAAAATAATAATAATAATAATAAAAGAACAATAATAATACCAGTATTAAGGCTGAGACAAACCCCAACAACACAGCCAGAGGCAGCAAAAGCCAACATAAGAAAAAGGAAGATAAAGGGTCTCCTTTTTATGCATTGTCTCTATCTCCTCAAACCCTAAACCCTAAACCCTAATCCACTTCACTTTAAAAGCCTTAAGCACTTTTTGGTTACATAATAATGAGCCTTTAAACCCAAAACCCTCGAGACTTCATTCCCTCAACCGCCCTCCGCCCTAAACCCTAAACCCTAAACCCTAAACCCTAAACCCCAAACCCTAAGTACTAGGCCTTAGACCCTAAACCCTAAGTACTAGTAGACCCTAAACCCTAAGTATTAGACCCTAAACCCTAAACCACGATTTAGTGCTTCACGTCCTTTAGTACTACAGGTATGAAGCCCTAAACCCTCCGATCAGCAAAACCCTCAGCCCTTCAAAGCCCTAAACCCTGAACCCTAAACTCCAAACCGTAAACCCTAAACCCCAGCCAAACCCTAGACCACTGGAGAGGGACACTGTGTGGCGTTGTATCTTCAAGGTGTTCTGAATGAAGCTCACTTGAGGGTTTAGGGTTTAGGGTTTAGGGTTTGCAATGAGGTGTATGTACAGCTGTACGAACAGCAGCAGATCTGTTCATTCACACCAGCCACGAGCAGCAAGGGTTTTCTGTTGTTTCTTTGGAGTTTATCCTGTATATCTCTCTTAATACCCTTACCTGAGTAATTTAAATGAGATAATAATAATAACTATATTATTTACTGTCTAAAAATTCTTTTGAAAATGAATTATTCGAATATTTCTATACAAATATGTTGCTGCTGCTGCTGCTGCTGCAGCTGCTGCTGCTGCTGCTGCTAGCGCATGCAGACTCACAGTACTCCACATTGAGGTGTACGGACAGCAAGCTCTTCTCCTTATTGTTTGTTTTATAGGCTTTTAGGGTTTTATAATAATTGTTATGAAGAAGGTAAAATATAAAAAGCAATTTAATAAGCAGCAAACAATTCACAATAAACTGTCTCCTTCTTGAGGCTCCTAGCCAGCCATTACTAGCCCTTCCGCTCCTGCTGCTGCTCCTGCTGCTGCTCCTGCTGCTGCTGCTGCTGCTGCAGGTCTACAGACAGCAGCCACCGAGCAGCTTCACCGCCTCCTCCTGGAGTTCAGCAGCAGCAGCAGCTGCTGCTGCTGCTGCTAGCCCTTCTGTCTTCTTGCTACACGAGTTGCAGCAGAGGAGACACACGAGCAACACCTAACTGTCTCCTTCTGTATACTTCAATCAGCATCATGGCTGCTGCTGCTGCTCCTGCTTCTGCTGCTGCTGCTGCGCCTCTCCCTACCCCTGCTGAATTCGAAGATGTCGTTGCTGCGCTGCAGTCTACAGACAGCAGCAACAGACACAGGGCGCAGCAGCTGCTGCAGCGGCTGCAGCAGCAGCAAGAAGACTGCACGGCATTCTGTCTTTCTATAATCGAAGCAACACCCGATCCTGCTGCTGCTACGGTGGCTGCTGTCCTTCTCCGCAGCGCCGGTAGGCCAAGAATTTAGGGTTTAGGGTTTAGGGTTTAGGGTTTAGTTAGCTTTTAGGGCTTATAAATTAGGGCTTAGGGCCTGGGGTTTAGGGTTTAGGGTTTAGGGCTTAGGGCTTAGGGTTTAGCGTGTGAAGTCTTGCTGCAGCGCTGTGGCACTGGAACGCTCGAATTGCAGCAGCAGCAGCAGCAAAGAAGCGTCTGGCTGCTGCTCCTGCGGGTGAAGCAGCAGCAGCAGCAGGTCAAGCAGCAGCAGCAGCAGCAGAGGCCCTCCAGCTGTACGTACAGCGCATGCAGCAGCTAATGTCGAACTCTGTGCTGCTTTTGCAGCAAAAGGCAGCAGCAGGCATCAAGGGTAAGCAGCCTTTTAGGGCCTGTCTTCTTTTGTAATCACAAACAGAACCGCTGCTGCTGCTGTTGCTGCTCTTGTTGCTGCTGCTTCTGCTGCTGCTGCTGCTGTTGCTGATGTTCGTGGCGTTGCTGCGGTTGCTGTAGATGCAGGTACTACTGCTGCTGTTGCTCCTGTTAATGCTGCTCCTCATACTAACGCTTCTGTTGCTGCTACTGCTGCTGCTATTGCTGCTGCTGCTGCTGCAGGCAGTGGGGAGCGGCAGCTGTCGCATGCATTTTGCTGCTTAGCTAAAAAGGGCTTAGCGACGGAGCCGTCGGTCTTCTTGAACTCCCTGAAGCAAATTCTTATGGAGGTTTGTTTACTGTCTCCTTTTGTCTCTTCTTCAGTGTCTCCTTTCGTTTGTTTAGTGTCTCCTATATAAATATATATGTATATGTTGCTTCTGCTGCTTCTGCTGCTGCTGCTGCTGTTGCTGCAGGTGGTTGCGAAGGGTTTTGCTGAGCCTATCCCTCTGTTCTGGATGTCTCTGCTGTCAGAGACAGCGCAGGAGATGCAGCTGCAGCAGCAGCAAGGGATGCATCTGTCTCTGCAGCAGCACGCTGCTTGCTGCCGCTCTTTCCAGCAGCAGCTGCTGCTGCCGCTCCTGGCGTTTGTGCTGCAGCGGCTGCAGTATATATTAGACAACCCCACACCGCAAGGTGCATGCAAAGAGGAGATAGGTAAGGGGGCCCTAAACCGGCTGCTTGTTTGCTTCTGCTGCTGCTGCTGCGTTACTGCTGCAGGCATAGCCTACCTCCTCGCGTGTTCCTGCTGCTGCGCCTGCAGCAGCAGCAGCAGCAGCAACAGCAGCAGTAGCAGCAGGAGCAGATCAGTTGCTGCTGGGGGGTTTGCTGGATTTGTTTTGTTTGCAGCACTGACTGTAGTTTAATTTAGGGTTTGTATGCGGGGGCCGGTGCGGAGACTTCGGTAGTTATTTATATTCTCTGCATGCATGCATTTGTGTGTTGGGGTGTACGTGCAGCTGGCATCTTACAAGTGATAGAGACAGTTTGCTCCTGGAGCTTTGGGCATTTGCTGCTGAGGATTTCGAGCGTAGATGAATTGTCTCTGACTCCTCCTGCAGAGTGGATCCCTGTCTTCTTCCCTCAAGCAGCAGCAGCAGCAGCTGCTGCTGCTGCTGCTGCAGGGACTGGAGCAGCAGCAGGTGCTGCTGCTGCTCCTGGCCCAGGAGGACATGCGCCGCCGCTTGTGTCTCCGCTGCAGCAGCAAGAGGGATTGTTTGTTCTCGTGCTGCGTCTGTACAAATTGCTGCGCGAAATGCAGCAGCAGCAGCAGCAGCAAGAAGCGGAGCTGTTTGCAACCTGCCGCTACCTGCTGCAGCGAATAGCAAAGTTTAGACCAATAGCTATGGCAGACGCGTTGCTGGCGGGGGATACAGGAGGAGACACAGAGACAAACAGCAGCAGCAGCAACGATGCATCAGCAGCAACGCTTCCTCTTAAGAAGAGTTATTCAGGCCCTGTAGGCCGTTCTAAGAAACAAAGATTGACGCAGCTAGTGTATATACCTTTGCTGCAGGTGCTGCTCGATCTTATAGAGACTTCTGCCTTCTATCAGCGCCTTCCGGGGCCCCCTGAGACCCCAGGGGGCCCCCAGGGGCCCCCAACAACCCCGCAGCAAACCCAGGGGCCCCCCCCGTCTTTGCCGGAACTAGAAGAGGTGCAGGACTTGTGCGCAGCTCTCGCAAATGTTGCAGGTAACTAAAAGCCGAACAAATAAATAAAAAATAAATCAACACAAATAAACAGGACGCAATGCAAAAAAAGGTGAAGGGGGCCCCTAAAGGGGGCCCCTGAGTTGGCCTCGAAGGGGGCCCCTAAGGAGGCCCTTGAAGGGGCCCCTAAGGGGGCCTCTAAAAGGGGGGCCCTGAGGTGGCCCTTAAGGGGGCCCTCAGGGGGCCCTGGGGAGCCCCTAGCGGGTCCCTAAGAGGGCCCTCTCCGGGCCCTGATGGGGCCCTGGGGACCCCAGAAGGGGGCCTTAGGGGCCCCCATGGTCAGAGGGGCCCCCTGGCCTCACGGGGCTCCTTAGGAGCCCTTTGAAACCCCCCTCTTCGTGTGGCTTTTCATTCATACATATATAGAATTATATTTATTATATGCATGTGTATATAATATATGTATGTATATCCAGACATATATTTATATGGAATTACATATGGCTGCATTGTGTATACATGACATATATATAATATACATATATATACATATATATTTATATACGTGCATTTATGTACATATATATACATATATATTTATATATGTTCATATATATATATATAGGAAACGGGAGAGGAAGTGGGACTACAGCATTGATCTGCTGCTGTTTTCGCTGTTTTGCTGCTGCAGATTGCATTGAGGCGCTGCCAGAAATCCTCTTCGCACATTTATCATTCAGAGCCTCTCCTTTACTGGCTAGGTAAGAAGCAGCAGCAGCAGCAGCAGCAGAAAGAGCAACAGCAGCAGCACCAGCAGCGGCACGAACAGCAGAAGCAGCACCAAGGGTAACAGCAAAAGCAGCAAGAGCAGCAGCCTGCTGCTGCTAACGACGCCTCCGGAGCATAGATGCATGCATGCACTGTGTTTGCTGTCTCTGGTTCGGTGTTTGCTTGTCTCTTTGTATTGTTTATTTTTTCTTCTTTTATCTCCTCTTGTATTAGCTGAGAGAGACGGTGCTTGCTGCATGCAAAGGAGACAGAAATGCCCCCCAAGAGAGACAGTCAGACGGGGCCACGGCAGCAGCAAACATTGCGGTGTATATACTGTCTCTCTTTTGTTCTACTTCTTCTGGTGTATCTCCTGCCTCCTCTTTTTGTGTCTCCTTGTGCATGCATGCAGACTTGGCTTGGGGCTGCTTGCTGCTGCTGCAGGGCCCTCTGCTGAGGCCCCCGTAGCAGCAGAAGCACTGGCGCTGCTGCTGCGAGCTTGGAGCTCCTGGGCTTCGCGCTTGCTGCTTGCTGCAGACACCCCGCTGCTGCCGCCTGAGCAGCAGCAGCAGCAGCAAACTAGGCTAGCTGATACACCATGGTGGCATGCCTTTAGGGATGCGTCTGCGTTGCTAGTTGAGGCCTTCGTACACAAGTAAACCCTAAACCCTAAACCCTAAACCGGTAGAACACCTTTTTAATTGCTTTCTGTCTCTCTTTAACTGGCGAGGAGACAGACAAATTCTAGTTGAGGGTTTGTCTCCTTTTTTTGTAGACAAACCCTCAAGGAAATAAAAAGTTAGAGCATTAAAATAATAAAACGTATTTATAAATAAACAAAGTGAAGTGACTACAAATGCATATCTACATATAAGCATATACATGCATACAATATAATATAATTTAATACAATAATATAATATAATATAATATAATATAATATAATATAATATAATATAATATAATATAATATAATATAATATACTTTTTATGCTTGGTTTTATTGTACGCAGGGGTTTAAATGCATGCAGCCAGCGCGAGGATGAAGGGGAGGCAGGAGATGAAAAGAAAAGAAAAGGTGTTTTGTTTAGTGTACACGGAGGGTCTCAGTTATATGACTTATTAAAATCCTTATCTCAAATAGCATTTGCTGCTCCTGCTAGGGCAATAGCAGCAGCAGCAGCGCAGCAGCAGCAGCTGCTGCTGCTGCAGCAGCAGGCCAGAGAAGCCGTACTCGCAGCGGCAACACCCCCAACAGCAAACTTGCAACAAATGAGGGCGCAGCTTGCTGCGCTGCAGCAGCAGCAGCAGCAGCAGCACTGGCTTCTGCTGTATGTACAGCTACTCATAGCAACTCATCAGGGCCCTGAGGCCTTAGCAAACCATCGCTTGGCTCCCCCAAAGCAAATACTCCAAGACGATGAAGCACAAACACAAGTGAGATTCTGCTGCTGTCTCCTTTTGTCTTCTTCTGTCTCCTTCTGTCTCCTTCGTCTTCTTCTGTCTCCTTTCGTCTTCTTCTGTCTCCTTTTATCTCCCTGTGTCTCCTCTTTGTCTCCTTGTGCGTCCTTTTGTCTCCTTTTGTCTCTTTATCTTTGGTGTCTCCTTTTTCTCCGATGGAGCAGCAGAGACAGTCCCGATAGAAACTGTCTCTGCTGCTCTGTCTTCTATCTCTTAGTAACATTCTTTTCGTAAACCCATGCATCTCCATGCATGCATCAAACTGCTGCATGCATTTAGTTGCTGTATGCACGCATGCCTGCATGCATGTACAAAGCCCCCAGTGGTGCCGTTGTTGTTTAGTTTGTTTATCTGTTGCGATTTTGTCTTGATTCCAATTCCTGCATGCAAAGCCAGCTTGTGGGGCCTCGGGTGTATGCGCAGCTCTTGCGTCTACTTGCGGCAGTGTTCTCGTTACTTGAGGCGGAGACAGCTGCTTTGAAGGCAGCAGCAGCAGCATCAGCAGCAGCAGCAGCATCCGCTGCTGCTGCTGCAGCAACTCCACAGGAGAAGCAGCAGCAGCAGCAGCAACTGCTGCTGCTGCAGGCGCAGCAGCAGCTACCTTCTCCTGTTATTTTAGAGGTTGGTTTAGGAGTAATTTCTCTTGTAGCAAAAGCATATCTTTTTAAAGAGAGACTTGCAAGACCTCGATTAGAAGAATTGCTGCTGCCAGGTACCCTCAGAAACCCTAAACCCTAAACCCCCAAATCTAGACATTAAACCCTTGAACCGAAACCCTAAACCCTTTCTGCATTCAAAACGAAACCATAAACCCTCAAATCTAAACCCTTAAACCCTAAACCCTCAAGCCGAAACCCTTAGCGCTTAAACGCTAAACCCTCAACTCTAAATTCTAAACCCTTGGAAACCTAAACTCTAAGCCCTTAAGCCTATACCCTAAACCCTCAAACCGAAACCCTAAACCCTTAAACCTAATCCAGGAACTTCAACTCTAAACATTTGACAGTTGTATCTCTACGTCCACCTCTAGTTTCTGCATGCATGCATGCGTGCATGCATGCGTGGGGAACAGCACTGCAATATTTGGGGCTTTGTTTGTTTGTTTGTCTGTCTGCATGCACAGAAGGAGGCCTCAAAGTGCTGAATGCAGGGGCCTCCATTGCTGCCGACTGTCTCCTCGCAGCCCCACAACACCCCGCGCTAAGCGTTGCATGCGCCCGCACTTTTAGGGTGTACGTACACCGCAAAGTGGAGACATTCGTGCAGATTTATGTCCATTCATTGAACGCAAAGGTTATTAGAGACCTACATGCATATGTCTATATGTATATATATATATATATATGCATATAGATGTACATATATATATATATGTATTTATATACATGTATATATATATATATATATACATGTATGCATATATATATATATATGGATAGAGTGCATATAAGGGGATATTTCTGTGTTATTAATATATATATATATATATGTTTGTATATTTATTATTTATGTATATTAATGCATAGCAGATTGATTGCATGCATTGGGGAGCAGCTGCGCACAGTACACGGGGGGCTCCTCTTATGTGTTTGTTTATGCGGTGTAAGGCAATTAGAGGCTTAGAGACACCCTTGGCTATTTGCTGCTGCTGTTGCTGCTGCTGATGCTGCTGTTGGGGTGTACATGCAGCTTCGCCGATACCCGCAACCCGTGCTGCGCCTACCTATGGGAGTGTGGGGCTTTCCAGTCCCTTCTTGATGCTTGCTGCAGCTGCTGCGCTGGGTTGCTGCAGCCAGCAGCAACAGCAACAGCAGCAGCTGCTGCTGTTGCCTCTAGCAACCCGCCCTCTGCAGACAGCAACAGCAACAGCAGCAGCAACAGCAGCATCATAGCCCTGCGGCAGCTATCCAGTCAAAGCTGCTCCAGTGTCTTTGCTGCTTTTGCTGCTGCTGCTGCTCCCTCAGAACAGTTGTGGGGCCTCGCGAAGAAGCACGTGGCCCAGCAGCAGCAGCAGCAGCAGCAGCAGCAGCAGCAGCAACAGCCGCCGTTCATGCGAAGTGGAACTATGCTCAGCGATGAAGTTGCAACGGCACGAACAGCTGCTTTGCTGCAGCGCTGCAGCGTGGGCCTCGGAGTGCTGCAGGCAGCAGCAGCAGCAGCGGAGGCTGCGCAGCCTCTCCCTATACAAGCGGTAAGCCTACTGCAGCACGAGCAGCTGTCTGTACACCTCAGCAGCAGCTTCAGCACTGCCCCCACTCCTTCGTTCCAGGGCTGTCTCCGTTTAAGATGATATAGTGCTCCAATTAGGTAGCAAGCAGCAGCAGAGGCAGCAGAAGCAGCAGCAGCAGAAGCAGAGACCGCTGGGGTTTTCTGTAAACAAAGACAGTTCAGGTGTACAGACAGCTCCTTCTAGGGTTTTTGCTGCGGAGATCGATGAACCTGTCTTTGTTTATTGCTGCTGGTTTCGTCACATTCATTCTTATCAGGGTTTAGGGTTTAGGGTTTAGGTTGTTTCTTCTTTCATATTATTTTACGTGGAGATTTTGATTGCAGAGTATTATTTCTTTCTGCTGCTGCTGCTGCTGCCGTTGCTGTTTCTGCTGCTGCTGCTTCTGCCGTGCTCCTTCCGCTACCACTGCTGCTGCTGCTGCTGCTGCAGGTTCGGTGGGTGTTGAGTATGTTGGGGGGTTTAGCCTCTGGTGCAGGGAAGGAAGGAGCGAGGAGACTGCTGCAGTGGATGGGGCCGTCTCTTCGTTTTGCTTTTGCTGTTACGCGTGCTGCAGCAGCAAACCCTCAAGCGCTGTTAGAGTAAGGAGACAACTGTTCGTTTGCTGCGCTTCAGCTCGTCCTTCTGTTCGTTTTGTTTGTTTTGGTTTGTTTTGTTTGTCTCCAGTTAAGTGCATTCATCTGTCTCTGCCGATGAGTCTCCTGAACTGCTGCTGCTGCTGCTGCTGCTGCTGCTGCTGCTGCTGCTGCTGCAGTGGCCTGAAGTTTGCTCGCCGCATTGCTGCTGCTGGGGCTTGCTGCCTCACTACGGAAGAAGCGCAGGCGTTGCTGGAGGAATACACCACAGTGCTGGCTGCCTTTGCGGTAATAAACCCTCTTAAACCCTAAACCCTAAACCCTAATCGACGCAAAGCACCTCAATACTCTATCCCTCGGGTTGCTGCTGCTGTTACTGCTTCTGCTGCTGCTGCTATTGCTGCTGCTGCTCTTCGGCCTGTGTGATTTGCTGCTTCTTTCTGTCGGGGCACATGATGCTTGGAGCTTAGGCTCTAGGGTCTAGGGTTTAGGGTTTAGGGTTTAGGGTTTGAGTGTGCAGGCGACTCTGGACCGTCAGATGAGCCCCGAAGAAGAAGATGCAGCGCTAACCAATGGCATGCAAATATTTAAGTAAGTATTTCTCTTGTTTTCTTTATTTGTTTTGTTGTTTGTTTTCTTTATTTGCTTTTATTTATTTTCTTTATTTGTTTATTGGTTTGTTTTTTCTTTTATCTGTTCTTTGCTTGTTTTCTTTTCTTTGTTTATTTGTTTGTTTATTTCTTTTTTGTTTATTGTTTCATTTGTTTGTCTTTACTTGTTTTTCTTTCTTTATTCGTTTGCTACTTCTTTTAATTGTTTGCTTTTTACTCTGTCTTTTATCTTCTTTATTAATTTTTATTGCCTCTTCTATCTCCTTTCTTTGTTTCGATTGTCTCTCTCCTTCTTTATAGATTATGTTTTTTGACGGTCCAGTGCTGCTTGGGGGGCCTTCTAATTAATTTAAATAAAATTAAGTTGTATAAATAATGTTAAGTTAAATCGACGTAATTGAATTAAATAAACCGGAGTAAAATATATTAAATAAATTAAGTTTAATTTAATAGATTGCAGTAAACTAATTAGCTTAAATTATCTCAATTAATTAAATTTATTTAAACCATATATATATATATATATTAAATGAAGTTTGTTAGCTTTTTTTTGATGTTTTTTTCGCACCGGTCTCTGACAGTCTCTTTATGATTATTTATTTATCTTTGTTTATTTGATTGTCTTTGTTTTGTTTGCTGTTGCTTCTGTCTCTCTTGTTATATTCTCATTGCTTTGCATGCATTTTAATGGGGCTTCCTTTTTTGTCTTTGTTTGAATTAGGCTGCTAAGACAACTCGCAGCAGAGAACAGAGGAGAAGCAAAAACAGAATGGTGAGGGCCTCACCAACACGCATGCATGCATGTATGCATGCACGCATGCATGCATTGGGTGTAATATATATATGCATATATAGATGTACGTATATATATATA